GCCTGGTCGTGGACGGTGGTGGCGGCGGCGGTGGCGGCGGTGGCCTAGTGACTGGTGGTAGGTATGTAGGTTGTTGTGTGGTCGGTGGTGGTGGTGGTGGACGAGTGGGGAATGTAAAAGGTACTTTAGGAGTTGGATAGTCGTAACCCGTTGTCCTGCTCACATCCAACTGTGTACTGTAAGTAGGTGGCTGCGTAGGTGGTCTCGTAGGAGGTGGCGGCGGTGGCGGTGGTGGTCTTGTTGGTGGCGGCGGTGGTGGAGGCGGTGGCCTCGTCGGGGGCGGTGGTGGTGGAGGTGGCGGTCTTGTCGGCGGCGGTGGTGGTGGTGGTGGTGGTCTTGTTGGCGGCGGCGGGGGAGGAGGTGGTGGTCTAGTCGGAGGCGGTGGAGGCGGCGGCGGCGGTGGTCTCGAGGGCGGTGGAGGGGGTGGCGGCGGAGGGAATGGTATCTTGGGCTTGGGGTAGAAGTATCCGTCCTCGTTCAAGTTAGCATCTATCGGAGCTCCCAGGACCCCATAGTTCTGGTTGTATAAGCTTGATACATCTCTTCTTGCAAGATCCGCTCTGCAGGTGTGGTACACCGCAAGCAGGACCACCGCTATGTGCAGTGACAGCCTCTGCAACAAATAAGTGAAGCCTATTTTATTAATTGTGTATATTTTTGTTATCTATCTACATATAAGCACTTAAGGAAAATATGGTCATATAATGCGGACCTACACATAGTAAAACAACGGCGTTTAAATTATCATATCTCTTTGCGAAAATAGGTAAAACAAACACATTTTTTTTCACAAACAATAAACAAGGTCCATAAATTATGTAATATTAAGCTGTACAAATATTAACGAGTACAAAAACCATAAAGACACCGAATTAAGATTGATTTTTTGCTGGATAAATTTGAAATTACGATTTAAAGGTCACATTACATACAAATTTGTGTACAGTGATCTACCGATAACCTAGACTCGCATCAGGTTGAGATAAATGTCGAAACATTTATTAAAATTTGTTGGATCCTAACAAGAAATAAGGAAATAAAAAAATAAAATATGTCTGTATCTGTCATCCGTAATTATTTTAAATAGAAACCTTTGTCTCCAACATAATATGAGATGATAGTGCGTTGATGTAATTTGGATCACAATTCGTAATTTGTGTAGTTTAGTAGTACAAACGTAAATAAATAATTTTCACGATATATGTATTGATTCAATTTAGAAAGCGCCTAGTAAAAGATGTACTCTACAGACTTAAAATATTTTGCTATAAAAATAATGTAGGCGTTATAAATTATTCTTGTATTTGTTATTCAAACTATTTCTACAAATAACTGGTATTGAGTAATGGCGACATATTAACCTCTGTCTTTATATGAAATGAATTTAACCTTGCTGTGGCATTGGCAATGTGTTAGAATTAAGTAATTTTATCATCTCGTGACGATTCCATCGGATTTTTCGTAGAAATTCGAATATTTATTCGGGGAAGAGCAAGTCAAAACAAAAGCATAATTTAATAGCAATTATTTTTTCATATCTCGCGAAGTTCTGTTTCTACTAAATACTTACTTTGTGCTGCATTAGACACGACTTGAATTTTCTTAAAAATTTATTTAAACAAGTATCTTGCTTTAAGACAATGGTTTTTGTAATTATAAAATAAGAACAGTTGTCTTCTAGTCTCTTGTAGCACCCTTCAAAAAAAGTTTACCTTAAAACATTTTGGTATGGTTGAACGTAAATTTTTGTAGTGCCATAAATATTGAAATATTACAAGTGGTTGTCATCTTTATTGCTTTAACAATATCAACAAACATAAGTAGTATACGACCTACGATTGAGTAATGTCTTATAAGAATTTAAATCAATATTTGTAGGTTTAAAATGAAGGTTACCATAAGCTTTATTAGACACTATTGCTATGTATATCAGCTGTTTACGATGGTATTAAGAATTAACTATAGTTCTCTAAGAAGAACTCTGGCTGCGCGGAATTAAAAAAAAACTTAATAAGTATCCTATGTGTTATTTTAGGTTATGTTCTACCTCTGTATCAAATTTCATAAAGATCCATTGAGCCGTTCCGACGATACCTTCCAACAAACATCCATCTATCCATTCATCTAAACATTCGCATTTATAATATAATATTAGTAAAATTTTATTCACATATATTATACATTTATTTATCATATTTTTAATATAATACATTTCATATCCAAAACAAATAAAAATATACAAAACATATTATATTAAAAACAGAACACCACCAGCTGCGGAATCCCATGACTCAAACAACCAGTGGTCAGGGCTACAGAGACAGGAACCTTCTTACGATGCGCGCGGTTTCTAAGACAACTGCCTTTTGTATCGGGCCCTTAATCCAACTGTGTAGCGAGAGCTTCTTGAGATGTTGGTCGAAGCTCTTCGCTATCAGCTTATTAGTATTAGTAAAATTATTATTATTATAACATTCAGAAATTAAGAATAGTAATATTAGTAAGATGATTATATGGACAGGGGCTATTTGTTCAATCGTCACCCTTGACCACTAAAATACAAAGACTTTCATATATGTATCAAAATACATCAGAAATAGTTCGATTATAGTCTTTGTAAACTAATTTGTTTAATTGTATGAAGAGTTTTATTACTGTTTTCTTTCCTTTCTTTTCTTTACCATAGTTGTGAACAACGATGTTGGGTACATAATTACTAAGTTGTTATATATCATCATCATCAGCTCATTACACGTCCCCACCGAGTGGCTCTGAGCCTACCCTAAGTTAAGGGTGATTAGGCCATAGTCAACCACGCTGGCCAAGTGCGGGTTGGTTGACTTCACACATTTCTTTGAATTTCTTCTCAGATATGTGCAGGTTATCACGATGTTTTCCTTTGCCGTAAGAACGTCGGATAAATGTAGATATGTAAATCGGATATCGAAAAACACATTGGTACATGTCGGGATTCGAACCCAGGATTTGCTGATTGCCAGTCAAGTGCTTGACCCCTGAGCCACCGACACTCTATATTTTATATTGATGTATATACATTATGTAATCATTAGTTGTTCCAAATAAAAAAAATAAAAATCGATCCTTTTCAACACCGACGATTGTAGTCTAAACAATCGCTCTGTCTAAACCGAGTGTAATCTGATCCGCAAACATGTGTAATATTTAACTATTAACGTAAAGTGTTCCAAACAAATGAACCTGACCGACTTGTTGCGACAGACAAACAAACGCGTCGACAAACTTTTACAAATACCTTTACATTGTCAAACTGAAACAATGCATTTAAAATGGCGAAAAACGGTTTCACATTTACATGTATTTAGTGTTGGCGCCGTTTCTGCTGCACCCTAACAGATGGCGCTGTAGCGAGATATCGTTTACTTTAATCGCGATGTTAAGATACAATGTCTCGCTACAGATATGCTTCCCGCAAGTCGGATATGTTTGGTGTTTGGTTCGGTGTTGTCATTGCGTTTCTTTGGTTGTTATTGTTGTCGTTGCGTTTTGTAGTTTTCGTTCGTTTCGTTGTGCGTTGGTCGAGTCGTCCAAATTTCGGACAAGTTTGCGTAGGAAACAAACAATGGTCCTTCGTTTGCCGAATATTTCGGTCTGAGTGTATTACGTTGGACTTAAATATTCGACTCGGTTATAATATATTAAAAGTTGAGTTTAGAGTTGGAAGAATATTTGGATTAATAAACAAACGTTATTTGAGGGTTGTCAATTGAATACAAGTGTGGACAGGTTATTACGGTTGATACTGAGGTGCATATTAACAAGTTTATTAGTGCAATTATTTTGCTATATACCTTCTTAGTTTTCTTCCTACTTGTTTTGATTTGTTTAGTGTTTTACTTTGAATTAATAAGATGGAACAAGCCAAAAGGTTAATTAGTCTTCAAGAGGACAGGATTGAACAAATACAAAAGGCTCAAAGTAATTACTTGAAAACACCTAATTCTCGAATAACATCAAGTTACGTAGAAACTCGCTTAGATACCTTGGAACGTTTATATTGTTCGTTCACAAGGGGACACGAAGAACTATCGGCGTTGATTCTTCGTGGACAAAGAAGTTCTGTCGAATATTTTAGTCTAGATAGGTTTGATGAATTGGATGAACTTTATACAATTTATAAGACTTCGTTAAAAGAAAAGTTAATAGAATTAAAAAGGGAAATGACTACAAGTAATGCACTTAGCCCGAGAACTAGTACAAGTACAGAGATAAAGTTACCTGCGATACAGATACCCACATTTTCGGGTAGTTATACAGACTGGCCATCGTTTAGAGATTTATTCACATCGATCGTTCATAAAAATACAACTTTAGATAATGTTCAGAAATTGCATTATCTCAAGTCTCTTGTAGCCGGGGAAGCAGAACAATTACTGCGCAGTATTACTATTACAAACGACAATTATATTAAAGCCTGGGAAACATTATATAATAGATTTGACAACAAGAGGTACCTCGCAAATAGCATTTTCAAAAAATTATTTAGATTGAAAGCAATGGCTCATGAATCGGCTTATCTATTAAAACAGTTGCTGTACACAACATTAGATTGCCTCAATAGTTTCAAAAATATGGGAATTAATACGGATGCATGGGATGACATTATTGTTTACATAACAGTTTCGAAATTAGATCCGACGAGTCATCAATTGTGGGAACAGCACATAACTGCAGACAGTGAAAAAATGCCGAGTTTTCAACAGCTACATCAATTTCTTGAGATGAGATTTAAGGCGTTAGAAATGGTGGAAGATAATTCAAAGCAAGGTACGAGTAAGACCAAAACAT